GTGTCCCCATGGGCCAACTTCGCGGTACAGTGCTCCGCAATGGCCTGCACCAAAGCATAAGCTAACAAATTTGCCCAATCCGCGATTCCAATGGCCCGCCTGGGTCTGCAACCAACCCCTCATCGCGTCAGGGTTCTTGGCGAAGCCCTGGAGCGATTTCGCGGTGTCCTGACATCCGGTTTCTTTCTCAGACTTGCCTGCCGTCCCTCACCTACCTTCCATGTTACAAGAACTACGATAAGCCGAGTTGCTGGGTTGCCCTCCACGTAGGCACGGACCTCCGCCCAAGTCTCATCATCAACATCCGGCAGCCTGCAAATCTCCTGATTCTCACCGGGACTCAATGCAACTTCTCACATGCTACACATCCCTTAACGGCGTAGGTCAGAAGATTCATCTGCCAAGCAGCCATGGTGGTGCCATCGCTGATCTTCAGCGTTTCCGTGGCCATGGTTGCAGCGCGAGGGAATCGGACACTCGGGTACAGGAGTGCTCTTGTTTCGAGCCTATGGCATACATGGCCACGCTTTCGTTGGTGAACATATTAAAAGAAATTGGTAGAGGAAGTATCTTACTTGGAGGTTCAGGATGTTATCAACCCAAATATATCTGGTTCTTATGTCCCAGCTACAATGACATCAAGGGACTTAAAGGGGCTTGCTACTGTGTTTTAAGTACCACTATACTTGGCTAATCCCTTAATTAATCTCAACCTCCAAGTAGGCTTCTGGTTCTGCCCCGCTTCAGTGGCACTGGACTTGATCATCTGAAGCCATGACTGGCTCGCGCACGAATCCCATTGCTGCAATGCTTGACCTGGAAAGGCTACATGGTAGTTCCCCAAAATAAGGGGACCCCAATATAGACCCAAATATACTATAGTCCTTATTATTGGGACCCCTAAAATGGTACCCCCAATTTTGGGAAACTCCCACATCCTAAACCTCAACTGCCAAGGATCTTTGCACTCTCATGTCCGAGCCTTACACCCTACACCCTCAACTCTTTGAATCCTTCAAGGCACCTGAATTCTGAAGTGCCTAACCCTCCTGGGAAGGTCAGGGGGACTTTGTAAGTGAGCTGATAATAATTGGTGCCTGGGCCATTACATGGCTTGGAGGGTTTCAAAGTATACTTACTAAGCCCCCCTGACCCTACAAGTACTAAGGATACTACAGTGGTGTGAATAATTACCAACACGGCTTTGACGTCTATTTGAGGTGCCCTTTACCAGGAACCTGGGACCATGCCATTGGTACACAGTAAGTATCCCTTTATAACCCTCTACTAAGCCCATTAATTTTCCACTTTCTTTTCCAAGTAGTATCCCTGCCCCCTAAAACCCTCCCCAATATCCACCCCAAAAAAGGGGCACAATCTAGGTCATTGTCTACCTAAACCCTAAACCCCTAAACCCTAAACCCCTAAACCCTAAACCCCTAAACCCCTAAACCCTAAACCGTAACCCCGCTGAATCCCGCGCCTCGCGCGAGGGCACTTCGGAAGTCGACGCTGCGCGGCGCGCAGCCAACTCGGCCTCCAGTTCCCGACCTTTCCGAAGCTTAGCGGGCTATATCGGGTTTACGGGCCGTTATAGGGCTTATGGGCCAACTTATGGGGCCCATTATGGGGTGTTCTAAGGAATTTAAAAGGAATCATGGAAAAGAACGCGGAAACTACTGTAGTACATGGAGGTTAAATAGGGATGATGGAAAGGAACATGGAAACTACTATTTAGGGTTTAGGGCTTAGGGTCATGGGGAGTTAGGAATAAACGAAGCTTACGGGGTTTTATAGGGCTTGTTGGGTTTCATAGGGTTTGGGGATTTGGGGTTTGGGTTTTAGGGTTCAGGGCTCGAACATACTTTGCAGGTTCAGGGTACCAGGGGGTACGTGGAGTTGTAGAATAGGGTTACATAAGCTTACAGGGCTATTGAGGGCTATATGGGGTCATATAGGGCTAAGGATACTTATAACCCAGTGATTGCTCATACTTATAGCCCTATAGCAGGCCTATTAGGGGACTTAGAGGAATTGTGATTGGTTTGTAAGTATGTTTATAAATCGGTTGTAGTGATGGTCCAGGAGGAATAACAAAGATAGCAGCAGCCGCAGCAGCCTCAGCAACTGAAGAAGAAATTGGGCATCATGACAACAACAAGTTGAAACTGCTGATTGATCAAGCGTGGCTGATGTGTTGCATTGTGTGTGTGTGTGTCTCATCATTGGTCTTGTTCTTGTGGGGCTACTGACTAGTGTCTTGGACAGGATATTGGTAGACCAGATAAAGTAGGCTGAAGGCTGTACAGTCACGGAGAGATGCGCTCCAGCCACCATTATTCAAGCGACTGCTACTGTTCTCCCCGTTCATATCACTTGCGTATACACACCACCCTGTGGTTGTGCTGAACCACAGTGCCTCAGGAAGGATAATTCAAAGGCTGGCTTCCTCGTGGCTGCGGTCTGGCGGTCTAGGATTTACCTAGGAAAGCCCATAGCATGAGGATGTTTTTGCACCAAGTCTGAGGCTTTGCCGAACGGGGACCCACGAGACATCATGCACAAAAAAGTAATTAGAGTGTCCGTTGCAAGCCCGAGGCGGCCATAACCAAAGAAGAGGGTTGTAGGGCCCTTATTTGTAGGTACTTCGGCCACAATGGAGGTCTGTCATCATCTGTGTAAGCCCCTCTCTTGACAACTGACATTAGGCCCAGGCGCTTTGCTCAATGAGCCTCCGCCGCTCTTCCACAAGAGACGCGATGGTCTCCTTGCCTTTGCAGGCTCAACCAGATACGACACAGAAAAGCTAGGCTTGGGGTTTAGGGTTTAGGGTTTAGGGCTTAGGGCTTAGGGGGCATGCTCAAAGCAACATGAAAATTGGACCTTTATGCTCATTGATCTCCCCCCCAGGTCTGTCTAAGCGTCCTAAGCTCCATAATAAACAGCCTTTATAACGCCTTGATAACCTCGAAATTCGACTTCAAAAACGTCTTATAAACCCGAAACCAGGCCCGATAGAAAGCCCCGCCCTTCCCCGAATTTCAACCCAGGTACACTCCGCAAGCTCAAGCTCTGCGACACGGTTCGCCTGTGATCGGTTCAAGGGTTAAAGGTTTAGGGTTTACTTGGAGGTTCATGGGACACTACTTCTGACTGGGCTTATAACCCTACATATAACCCTCTTAATTGGACGTGTGTAGGTTTCCCCCAATTATAAGTAGGGTTATAAGCCCAGTCATAAGTAGTAACTAAGTCCTATGAACCTCCAAGTAGGGTCTAGGGTCAGCTTCATACTGGGGACTCAGGAAAGCCTCACTTTAAATATCCCCTACATCCTGAGAAACTACATTGTTTTGGGGATTCTTGTTGTGCATACCCTAAACCCTAAACCCTAAGCACTAAACCCTGAACCCTAAACGCTAAGCCCCAAACCCTAAACCCTCAACACTCAACCCTGAACCCTAATTCCTGCATCCACGCTAGAGATCCTCGATTCAAGTTCAGAAAAGCGGGGAAGTCTGTTGACAGCTGTGTCTCCGCTCCAGTTGTCCTGTATCTATTAGGTTGACCCACCGCCCAGTCAAAGTGCCTATGAGGAGATACTGGTGATTGTATCAGGGTCCTCTTATATTCCTATAATACCCCTAAACTAAACCCTAAACCCTGATCCACCTAATGTATCTAACTTACTGAAGCACTGGGAGTGCGGCTTGCTTCACATGGTTTGGGGTTTAGGGCTTAGGGCCTCCCAAAAGTAGGAGTCCCGTTTTAGGAGCCCCTAGAATAAGGATTGTAGTGGTGGGGGTGGGGTATGCTTTTATGGAAACCACCACATGCCACTGATCAACCTTAAGCTCTAAACCCTAAAAGGCCCTGAACTGTATTCAACCCTAAACCCTAAACCCTAAACCCTAAACTTAAGCCCAAAGATTGAAAGATGCGGTGGAAGCCTCGCTGGCGCTTTTTCGCAACTTCTGCTCCTGGTCACAGGGTGTCTTTCAGTGGGGAAAGGGACAGATTTTAGGAGGACCCCCCACCCTGTAATAGGGTTTAGGGTTTAGGGTTTAGGTTTTAGGGTATAATAGGAATATAAGAGGACCCTAATATAATCTCCATTATCCCCTATAGTCACTATTACTGGGTGGGGGGGTCCACCTAAGACAGATTATAGACGTCATGGTCTATGTACCCAATAATGGGGGTGCTTGGGATTTAGAAACTAGTACTTGTAGTACAGGTATCGTGGAAGTACATGAAATGGAGTATTTGGAGCCTTAGGGTAGGATCAAAGTCGTAGGATATTGTTGGAATATGCGTCCTAAACAAGCTCACGCAACAAGCTGCTAGCTTGGTACATTACCTGAGTCCAGGTTTGAGGGTTGCCGCAAGCGATAGGTGACTAAACCCAACAGATGGGCAACTTTTTCCGTGAACCACGACCAAATTCTCATTGCCCTGCAAATGTGTACTTGTCCAATATGTGGTAACTTTACTCTTTCACTCAAACCCAAAACACGGCCTAATCTTCACAAGCCAGCTTATATCAACGACCCAGGTGCCGAGTTCAAACCCCGACCTCTTCGAGCGACGCCCGGAGGTCTCGAAGTGCTAGGAGATGTACCGAAGAATCAGCAACCTGGGATGATCTGGGTACATTTTAAGGTTTAGGGTTTGGGGATATTGTTTCAAGGGTTCTTTGGGGTTCTGGGAAGAAAATACCTTGTCCTCAATAAACATCGAACCTGACATGGGCTAAGAAGGCGAGGATTTTAGAAAGGTCCCGTAGGGGTGCTCCAAGGTCTTAGTTGGTCAAGGGTATGTGATGCTTCTACATACCCCTATGACTCCACAACAAGTACTTAGAGTTCGGCGTGCTCTCAACATAAGATATGAGCAGAACCCAATAGGCTTAGTATAAGGTTTCAGAAGTAACGTTGTTACTCTCAAAGCCACAGCTGTGAACCTTACCAAAACTCACGGCTGGTATAGGCTATGGGCTATTCCTATCTGACAGCCTGCACCCCTGAACTCTAAATCGAAAACCCCAAATCTACATCCCTAATCAAACCTAAAAGCCCTAAACCCGAACCTGACACCCTAAATCCTAAACTCTACGCCCAAAACCCTAAACCCTAAACTCTACACTCAAACCCTAAACCCCAACCCTCAGCTTCAGACCTAAACCCCGAACCTAAACTCTTACCCCCTGCACCCCCTAACCCTACCGAAGCCCTAAACTTCTACCTGAAACCCCCCAACCTCGAACCTTTTAAAACCCTAAAGCCTAAACCCTGAACTTCAATCCCACCCTCTTTGCAAAGGCCTCCGGTGGCTTTGCCGGGGATGCTGCAGCCTGTGAGACCCCAAGGACGGGTATGCACAAGGCCTTAGGCTTACTTAGGGTTTAAGGTTTAGGGTTCAGGTTTTTTCGTCAGAACTTTTCTCCAAGGC